AACAAGGTGATTCATTTGGTCATGTTTCATTGGAGACAAATAATTTATCATTGTTTTATTGTCACAATGTGTGACTCAAGAAAGTTCTAAATGTTGGAACAAGAGAGATGTTGTTCTGGTAGCTTACAGAGATTTCATAGGGCTGTGTGGTTATCGGTTCTCCTGCCTTATTAGATTAGTCCTTGTGAAGACGAAGTCCCACCTTTGTGAGAATAGCCTCCATCATGTTGTGTGGCTCTATCACCATGCTGAATGCAGCAGATTTCGAACAGATCTAGCAACTTAAATTGGCATTCATGAGACATTGTGAGAGATCAACAGCTGCAGAATTGTACTCCAGCACAATCTGCAACCTCATGTTCAAGTATAATCTCCACTCAACCATTTCCATCAAGTCAGGCAATCAACCTTGGTTCCACGGAAATTGCAGGAGGGCATGCTAGGAGCAGCACCAGGCATACCTAAAAAATGAGGTGTCAACCTGATGAAGCTACCAAACAGGACTACTTGCATACCAAACAGCATAGGCTGCAAGTGATAGACAGAGCTAAGTGATCCCACAACAAATGGATCAGATCTAAGATCTGCAGTCCTGCCACCTCCAGCTGTGAATGGTGGTGGACAATTAATGAACTCATGGGGGAGCCCAGCACATCAGTGCAAAAGATAAGGCTGAAGTATTAGCAGCAATCTTCAGCAAGAAGTGCCAAGTGGATGATCCATCTCAAGCTCCACCTGTGGTCCCCAGCATCACAGATTCCAGGCTTTGGCAATTTGATTCACTCCATGTGATATCAAGAAATGGTTGGAGGCACTGGATACTGCAAGGTTATGGTCCCTGACAACATTCTGACAATAGTACTGAAGAGTTGTGCTCCAGTACTTGCAGCTCCTGTAGCCAAGCTCTTCCAGTATAGTTACAACACTGGTATCTACCCAACAATGTAGAAAATTGCCCAAGAAAGTCCATTGCATAAAAAGCAGGTCAAATCCAACTTGGCCAATTACTGCCCCATCAGTCTACTCTTGATTATCAGTAAAGTGATGGAAGATGTCATCATCAGTCCTACCAAGCAGCACTAACCTGCTTAGTGATGCTCAGTTTGTGTTCCGCAAGGGCTACTCAGCTCCTGACCTCATTACAGCCTTAGTTTAAACGTAAGACAGAAGTGTTGAATTCCAGAGGTGAGGTGGGAGTGACAGCCTTGACATCAAGGCTGCATTCAACTAAGTCTGGCATCAAGGACCCCTAGCAAAACTGGAATCTTTGGGTATCAGGAGACAAACTCTCTGCTGGTTGGAGTCATACTTGGCACATTGGAATATGGTAATGTTTGTTGGAGGTCAGTCATCTCAGCCCCAGGACATCTCTGCAAGTGATAGTAGGAACTGCAGATGCTGGCAAGTGTTCCTCACTGTAGTGTCCTACACCCAACCATCTTCATTTGCTTTCCACCATTCATAAAGTCAGACGTAGGGATGATCACTGATAATTTCACCATGTTCAGCAATTCCAGACTCCTCAGATACTGAAGTAGTTAATGCTCAAATGCACCAAGATGTGGACAATATCCAAGCTCGGGCTGCTAAGTGATTAGTAATGTTCATGCCACACAAATGCCAGGCAATGACCATCTCCAATCAGAGACAATCTAATCACTGCCCTTGACATTCAATGGTGTTACCATCACTAACTCCCCAGTATTAACATCCTTGGGGTTACATCAATGGGTTTACCATTGACCAGAGACTCAACTGGACTCGCCACCTAAACAGAGTGGCTACAAGAGCAGGTCAGAGGCTAGGAATACTGCAGTGAATAACTCATCTACTGACTCCCCAGAGCCTGTTCTCAATCTACAAGACACAAGTCAGGAGTGTGATGGAATGCTCCCAACTTGCCTGAATAGGTATAGCTCCAATAACACTCAAGAGGCTTGTCACTGTCCAGACAAAGCAGGCTGCTTGATTGGCACCGCATCCACTCCCTCCACCACCAACACTCAGTAGCAGCAGTGTATACTATCTACAAGATGCACTGCAGAAATTAACTGAAGATTCAGAGAGAGCATTTTCCAAACCCATGACCACTTCTGTCTAGAAGGACAAAGCCAGCATATACATGGGAACATCACCACTTGTAAGTTCCCCTCCAAGTCTCTCACTATCCTGACTTGGAAATATATTGCTGCTCCTTCACTGTCACTGGGTCAAATTCCTGGAATTCCCTCTTTAAGGGCATTGTGAGTCAACCTACAGCATGTCGACTGCAGTGGTTCAAGCGGGCAACTCAACACCTAAGTGCAACTGGGGATGAGCAATAAATACTAGCCAGCCAGAGACGTCCACATCATATGAGTGAATTAAAAAAAATTGGTTCTCTACACTTATTTTCTTACATTGCCACTTATAAAAACTAGCTGATGGTCATACAAGAGGATATGATTTTATTCCTAATATAAGGAAACATTTTTTTGATGCAAAGGAAAATTTCTAATTGAAAATAATCACACTTTGAATATAGTTCTGTTATTGAAGAGTGTTCCTCAGTGCACAGCTTGGTTACATTGTAATGGGACTTCTTGGTCACATCTTGATGAGCCCATGCAAGAAATACCCATATGGTAACTTCTTAAAAGCAACATTCAGATCACCTCTGAAGATACAAATGAATGATTGGAAAAGGTGTTGATACTCCCAACTACATAATAGTTGTTAGTGATTATGGTGCTGGTCATCATGTAATTGAAATCAATATGGTGATTTGAGAATAAACACGAATGAAAATAACAAAAAATGTGTTTGTATTGTCATTAAAAAAACATTCAATTCACAAATGCCATTAGGGAAGCGATGCCATACTAATCTACATGTGGCTTCAGAGCCATACTGAGTGATGAACTTCTAAATGGCCTCAAGGCAACTCAGGGCAGGTGATAAATGCTGCCTTATCAGTGTGGAGCATATCGCAAGAACCAATAAATGCTCAGCTCCAAAGAAAGACGATGAATCAATTATTAATCTCCACCACCCCACCCTCACCCTTAGGTAAACCTACCTAGTTAAACCATCAGTTTAAAACATCAACTAAGAAAAACTTCAGATTATTGAGGGAATTTAGTCAGCTCTATCAGCTTCAGATTGGGTCTTGTAATGAAATATCCTCCCCTCCGGAGTTTTCAAATCAACAAAATTATCTCAAGGTAGAATATATCTCTCGGTGTATTGAAACAGGAACAATGTTTTTCAAGGTTAGCAATATCAGCAACTTAGAATCATAATTTAGGGATTTAAAATATTCTTATTGAGATGTGTTTAAGAGGAATTAAATTTGAGATTACAACTTCTTAAATAATAGTTTTAAAACATGTATTGTAAGAACCAATTCTGGATTACTTTATAGGAATGATTACTGCATCACAGAATATATCATATCATCACTATTCTACTTTACATTTATACACAATGTTTAAGTCCACTCTAGAAAACTTTTTAGATGTTCAAAGAAATAAGAGTTAAAGAAAACTTTACTCACAATACAGTATCTTTTCTTTAGTGTGTCCTTGTCTCAAATTTCCAGGGGAGTTACTGTAAAACCAACTGTTCTATGTCCTAAGATGATGGTCTTATGTCTCTCTGTTTTGCATGTGTTTATGTTTTTTAAGAGCTAAAGCTTGTAATTATGGCATTTGAAACAATGCACATGTATCATTGTATTCCTATAAAATCTTTTCTTAATAAAGCTTATCACTTTGTCTCTTTCTTTGTACATGATTGAAGTTTACTATTCTTTTTTCTGCTTTTAATTTCACAGGTGTTTAGGCTATTTTCCAATAGGCATGCCTGCAAGGACCCTAAAAGTTCTGTGCTCTTCTGTCTCGTGTGTTTTTACTTTTCTTGGCACTTATCAACAACATAAAATCAGGAGCAAGGGTAGGCAATTCAGCCCCTTAAGCCTGCTCCACCATTCAATAAGATTATGGCTAATATGATTGTAAAATTAAATTTGCATTCACGTCTACCCTGATAACCTTTCAACTTCTTGCTTAATAAAAATCCATCTAACTCTACCTTAAAAAAAATTCTATGATTCTGCTTCCCGTGCCTTTTCAGGAAGACTGTTCCAAAGACTCTTCAACCTCAGAACGAAAATCACAAAATCCTTGTTCTCAAGGGCAATCTTTGAATTTTTTTTTAAAGTGGCTCCTCTTTCCAGCTTCACCCATAAGAGAAAACACCTCCACACATCCATCCTGTGAAGACCCCTCAAGATTTATGTTTCAATCAAGTGACTTGTTAGTCCTCAAAAAATAAACGAACTGTGGATGCTGAAGATCTGAAACTAAAATAGAAATTGCTGAGGAAATTCAGAGCCTTCCTCTAAACTCCAGCTGAGAAAAGACAAGATTGTCCAGGCTGCCCCATTCCAGGTGTTACGTCTGATAAACCCTTTCTGAATCGCCTCCAACACATTTATATTATGATTCAATAACATAAAACAAAGGTCTTTAACAAAAAAAGAAATTGTTGGAACGTTCTGAAGGGTTTCTGGATGCGAAACGTCAACTGTTTTTCTCTCCATAGATGCTGACAGACCTGCTGAGTTTCGCCAGAAATTTCTGTTTTTGTTTTATATCCTTAAAATAAACCAACCTACGTTAAAATAATCAGTGTCGAAGGCAACTTCCCCTCCCTCTGTTAGACGCTGTTGCCTGGTAGAGGAATATGCTCTCTTCTATGTCACGTACACTTGATAATTTACTTTCCTCGTTGAATAATTTCCTCATTCCTGCTGGATTCCAGTCTATAGCAAGTATATGAGAAGGACTCGGGTAATGTTCTCAATGGGCCCTGTTCTTTCGATTCTCTCCCTCTCGCTTTAACATCGATTGGAAGTGGAACAGAGCAACGACACAGCTGCTCCAAGCTGTAAGAGTGCGTGGACCCCCATTGCTTCATCTCATGGTTAATAAATAACAGTAATCACGTTTCTTTCACAGAAATGGCTGCTTCCAGGACAAACCTGAGGCAAGTCTTTCAAAGACGCGAGAAGATTACCTCTCTGCCTTTGTATTACGATGGGGTTCTGTGGAAAAAAAGCTCGAAGGATAAGGTAAGTGATATCCGTGTATCTCTCTGCAAACTTACATTACTTTCGTTTTTAACGTCGATAATTCTGAAGGAACTGCAGCGCTGTAGAAAGTATTAAAGTACTCTTTTGAAAATCTAGTGATTGGAAAGTTTCCTACCTGACGGCTTCAAGATTTTCTGAAGAAAATTAAAGAATGAAAGCTGCTTGAGAAATGGCAAAATTTAGTGAGAACATACCGGGATAAAATGTTGCTATTAAAAAAAATCACTATGTTGTGAATTACTTTAATGTAGAATATAGAATCATTCGCTATGGAAGAGGCCCTTTGGCCCATCATGCCTGTACTGACAAAAATATGCCACTACCTACACTAATCCCACTTTCCCATACTAGAGTAGTAGCCTTGAATGTTATGACACTTCAAGTGTTCAAAAGGTTGTGAGGTTTCCTGCCTCAAGTAACCTCTTATTTTATCTCCAGCAGCTTTGCAATATAACTGGAGAAAGGGTTCATTATTAATAACATGCACTGCTTTTTATAGTTATCATTTCATTTGTGAACTTGAACTGTTAATAATTTCACGAAAAGTTAAACTGGCACATGTGAAACCCGTGGTAATGAAATACTTCTACATTTCCTGCTGGTCAACTCAGCGGGAGGTGGAGCGGTGACAAAAATACGTTTGAAATCAAGCATCTTCTTTCAATTAAGCCTTAGGTAAAGTCACCCACTATTTATCAACTCTAGTTTTAGAAATTAGTAATAATTAATTAAAAAGTGCAACAAAATAAACAAAATGGGAACTCTGCAGGTCAAAGACCTGTGCTTCGTCTGAGGGGTTTGAACACCAGCATTCAATGTAACCAGCAGGTACAAGGGAGAATAGATAGGTGGCAGTGGTTGCATTTTAAGGTATAGGGTGCTGAGTTTTGTATCACAAGCAATGTCAGCGATTTCTACTTATATTTGTAAAATTCCTTTCTATAATTTCCACTCGCCTTGCTGCCCCGAGGATTTCAAACTATGAGGTCAAATAAAAGACCTAATTTCAAGTTGCCAGTGATCTTGTATAAGGCCAGTTTTCCACAAGATCCTTGGGACAACCTGGATTTTCTCTCCAGCAAGCTCATTTTGCTCTTGCAGGACAATTTATTTGCAAAGCTGCTGTTGGAGGGGAAAAGATCTGCCTGAAAAGGATTTTCGTCCCATTCATCAAGGTTTTTTTAAGCAATAAAAGTCTGCATTTGCAGTTAAAGCAGATCAACTGGAAATGCAGACGTTTATTTTCCTTAACAAAACCTTGACAAATGGGACCAAAATCTCTTTTTAAAAACTCATAGGGTGAAATACTCCTGGGCACGTGGAAGCAAGCTTGAAGGTGTGTCCAGGAGTAAATATTGAATTGCCGTTGTTGGGTAATCAGTTTGGAGACCACTGGGGCCCGCCTGACTGTGGACAGGTTTTCTGTTGAATGCAAAGCCTGGCAAGGTTTTGGAGACAGTTTTCCAATGAATGCCCAGGCTTTTTGCAAGTGTTTCTATGCTTGCAGCCCTCCAAGCAACTTGGTTGGTCTCCATAATGATTTCCTGATATCTGTGGAACAAGTGTGTTTAAATTTGAACACGTCATCTGAGTGCACCTTTTGTCCACTGCAGCAGTACCCAGCTCTCGCAGTGAGACAGATGATAGACAAAGGCTGTAAGTCTCCAGTTGACTAACTGGGTGCTTATCCCACTCACCATTTTTAATTGGATAGCGTTCACAGATATGGTCTCTTAATTGTTTGCCTCTGGTAAGATCATACAGACAGCCAGACAGCACTAACAGCACTGGGGCATGTTTTTGTACCCAAACACGGAGTCATCAATGGTGCTAAGATTCTGCCCGTAGATTTACTACAACAAAACCTTGGAGTCGCTATTCAGGAGCATCTTGTGAGGCGAGCTCAGAAACTCCTGACTGTCAGAGATGTTTTAAAATTCTCATCTTTGTTTCCAACTCCCACAGTGGCATTACTCCACCCAATCTGTAGGATCCACTACAGTCCTTCAAGATAACTGTTTGACTTTTTAAAAAACCTATTTCTCCCCTAATCAACGTGTTACTACACAAGGTGAGACTTGAACCTGAGTCTCTCGGTAGGGATACTACCACTGCGCCACAAGAGGTCCCTTTAAATGAGTGCTGATACGGAAAGAAACTTCTTATTTTGCTGAAACCGGGAACCTTTAGATCTTCAGTCTAACGTTTTCCCAACTGAACTATTTCGGCTAAAGTTTGGCTTCTTATGCGCCCATAATTTTGACTGGTGCATCGTTGGTGGCTGTGCCTTCAACAGCCTAAGCCAGACTCTGGAAGTGCCCCCATAAACTCTTTCCCTCTTCATCTCTCTCTTTATCTCTCCCTCATTTAAGGCATTTCTTAAAACCTATCTCTTTTTCTAAGCAATCAGTGATTCATCTTAATATTTCCTTTAGTGGCTCGGTGTCAGACTTTGCTCTATAATACTCTTATGAAGCACTTCTTATACATTAAAAGGCACTGTGTGAACACAAATTATTGTTATTGTTGAGGAACACGCCCCTCTCAAGCACCATCTAGTGCCTGGTACCAGATTAACACCGAATGCGCAACGAAAAACGTACATTTATATAAATATCACCGTTTAAAGGAACAGGTCTTCTGTGACTGTGTTGACCACAATCCTAAGGAGTTTGGAGGCAAGTGGAAGAATGATAATTTTGAAATTGAATAAATATTAAACAAAGAACAAACTTAAAATATGGTGACAAAAACAAAGTTGCTGGAAAAGCTCAGCAGGTCTGGCAGCATCTGTGAAGGAAAGATCAGAGTTAACGTTTCGGTTCCTCAGTTCTTATGAAGGGTCGCCGGACCCAAAACGTTAACTCTGATTTTTTACTTCACTGATGCTGCCAGACCTGCTGAGCTTTTCCAGCAACTTTGTTTTTGTTCCTGATTTACAACATCTGCAGTTCTTTCGGTTTTTAAAATATAGTGAGTTGAAGGAACTTCATTAGCAAATTGTAGATAATTTCAAATAAGAAACAAGATTATAGACAACAGTTGTCATAGGATATTTGCAAAAGTTTAATGAGTTTCCTTCTTTAAAAGTGGAAATCAAGTCCCCTTAATCCATGAGTTACTTAGAATGTAACTAGTTCAGTCTCCAAGATGGTTAATGCCTGAGCACCATCTATGATAAACTAAAAACTTTACAAAAAAAGACAGTAATGGTGAATGGTTATTTTTCAGACTGGAGGAAGGTATACATTGAGGTTCCCCAGGATTCATATTAGGACTGCTGCTTCTCTTGATGTTCATTAATGGCCCAGATTTGGGTGTACAGAACACAATTTCAAAATATGGAGATGACATAAACCTTCAAAACATGGTAAAGTGAACTGAGGGGGGTAGTGATTGGCTTGAAGAGGACATAAGAGGCTGGTTGAATAGTTTGGACACATGGCAAGAATGTGAAGTTATGCATTGTGGCAAAAATAATAATCAGAGGCGGTATCAAATAAAGAGTGCAATTTCAAAGTGTGTGCAAGTGCAGAGAGACCTAGCAGAATGTATGCACAAGTTTTTAAAAACAAAATGACACAGTAGGTTAAGAAAATGCTTTTGAAAAGCATATAGAAAGCTGGGCCTTATAAATAGAGTAGAAAAGCAAAGACTAATGATGTTTCACAAAAAGCTGGTATGTCATCAACTGGGCTATTGTGTCCAATTCTGGGCATGACACTTTAAGACTGTGGTGAAAGCCTTAGAAATGGTGCAGAAAAGAGTTGAGAACAGTTAAGAATACTCAAAGATGGTTTGAAGGAGCTGGTGTTCTTTTCCTGAACACAGAGAAATATAAGAGAAGATTTGACAAACGCATCAAAAATCATGAATGATCTAGTCAGGGTAGGTAGAAACTGTTTCCATTGTCAGAGAGGTCCAGAATCAGCAAAAACAGATTCATGATATTCATTGACAAAAGAAACAACTTAAGGAAAGACAGCAGTGAACGATTGCAATTTGGAATGCAGTATCTGAAAGGGTCACAGAGATAGATTCAGTCATGGGCTTTCAAAAGAAATTGGAAAACATCTGAAGGGGAGAAAGTGTAGGGATTTAGGAAAGGGAGGAGAAGCAGGACCAAATTAGTTGCTGTTATTAATGGCAGAATGAGTTCAACAGGCTGAATGGCCTCCTATTGTGCTGTAACCATTTATATTTCTATAATTCTACAAAGTATAATGAGAAAACATGAAGCCGCTTCTTCCCCTCCCAATGATGTGTTTTCTTATCTACTTAACAGAACTTCCAAAGATACTGGTCAGAGTTACGAGGGTCTTCAATATTCTTTTATTGTGATGAAAAGGAATCAATGGTAAGAAAGACCTTTACTCTGGAATCTTTTGGTTTGCAAAGGTCAAATGATTGTTCACAGTCTCAGCTTCAATATTTGGCCTTATTCTAACACAGACATAGATTATTGTGGTCATTGGGAATAGTACAGTGAAAAGTCTTGTTTTGCATGCAGTACAGGTAGATCATAACATACAAAGATCATAGGGTGATTGAACAGAGTGTGAATACAAAGATAAGGCTACAATGAAGGTGCACATAAAGCAAGATCAACATTAGGTTTCAAATTTGAGAGGTCCACCCAGAAATCCAATAACAGGGTCGGAGGAAGCTGTTCTTGAACCCATTGGTACATATGTTTAAGCTTTTGAATCTTCTGCCTGATGGAGGAGGTTAGAAAAGAATATAACTGGGGTGGGAGGGGTATTTGATGATGTTGGCTATCTTTCCATGGTATTGAGAAATGTAGATGGAGCCAATGGATGGAAAGTTAGCTTGTGTGATGGTCTGGACTGTGTTCGCAACTTTCTGTAGTTTCTTACGATGTACCAAGGCACCCCATGTGGTAGAAGCCCTGTATGCTGCTAGTAAAATGCCAGAGTTGTTGAGATCATGCCTTTAATTGTCTACATTAGTGGCAGAATTGACCTCTTGGTGAGAGGATTCTACCTTCTCTGATGCTGGTAAAAGGGCTCACTGGTTAGCTGAGTTGGATGGACAGCTAGTTTGTGATGCAGAGTGATGTCAATAGGGCAGGTTCAGTTCCCACACTGGCTGAGGTCACCATGAAGGACTCTCCTTCTCAATTTTTCCTCTCGCTTGAAGTGTAGTAATCATCAGGTTAAGCTGCCATCAGTTGTTTCTCTCTCTAATGAACTATCAGCTCTATGGCTCTGGAACAATGACAACTTTAACTTTATAAAGTAGTCTGGTGGCAGGAAGATGATTTGCACTGTACCCATCACACTTCTTTATCCCCCACTGCTGTCCTTTCTCATTTTATGGGGCTCTTCCTAATTCCAGCACCTAACCTGTGCGGAGGGCTGGTAAATTCCAGCCTGTGCCATGGATACTATGGCAGATGAAAACTTCGTATATTCATTTCATTTTTCAGTGTATTCTATTTAATTGTGATGTTAACTTGTTTATCTTAAGTGGGTTTTGTTTTCTACACATCTGTTAAAACAAAAATGTTGGATGAGCAAACTGTTTGCTAGCCAGTAGGAATTTATGGATTATTGAATCTAATAGCTTGTAATTTGCTGAAAATCAAAGCAAATACACACTAAATATGACATTGTGTTGTTTCCCAATATATGATATATCCTAGTTTCCTGGTCCCAGAGGTATTTCTGTTTTGGTACTGCTCAGCTGTTGATGTACTATAGAGACTGGAGAGCAAATAAAAGACTGTGGAAACTAAGAAAAACCTCCCGTTTTGCCAAGATCATGAATTTAAGTGACTTCTGCTAGCTCTGGCCTGTGCAGATCTTCCATGATACTCATCAGTTTGGAGCAGAACCAGAAGTGAGTCCTGACATCTTGTTTGTACATCACTGATACTTTGGCAGGCACTGGTGTTTTGAAATATTACACATGCCTTTTTCTGTCTCATTCTGATAACCTCTCTACTGGCTTTGTACAAGCGAGTGATGAATTTCCTTGACTGTGACTTGATGTCTATATGTTTAGTCACTTAATCTGCTGCTGATGCTTTTAAGTTGTGAATGTTTCAATTCTGACTGCTGCTAGGTTTGCCCTTTACTTAAATCAAAGTTATTTATTTCTTTTTCTTTGTACTAACTTAAGTTTGCTATTGATTTTGGCAATCGTGCCTTTCACTAATGAATGCATGTTGTCTCTGGCTGTAAAGGAGTAATCTTGCCTTTGTGTTAAGTTGTGTATTCAAGCCATGTTCTGGACATTTTCAAGTCAAAATCTAGGATGACACTCCAGCATAGTACTCTGGATGTGCTGAACTGCTAAAGTGTCATTTTGGGGATGATACGATAAACCATTGCCCTCGCTGGTGTCTCAGATGGATTGAAAAATACCGCTATGCTATTCCAAAGAAAAGCAGGTGAGATCTCTTAAGTGAGGTCTCTCTTGGTCGCTATGCTAATATATATCTCTGAACCAACATCATTAAAAGACAAATTATCTTGCAGAGGCCCTGTTGGAGTTTATGGGACTATGCTGTGTACCAACTGGCTTCTCTGTTTCATTATACAACAAGGACCATTACTACTCTGACTGCAATGGGTTCTGCTGCAATCATCACAGGTCAGCTACGAACATATTGAATGACAAAGCAGGAATGAAGGGCCAACTGGCCTATTTTTGCTCCTAATTTATATTTTGTTTATAGGAGATGGCTCACCTTTATAAGGCAAGTAAGGGTGGTCAGTATTTTGGCCATCCCAATATCTGGAGGCTAAATATTTTTCAAAGTGAATGCTTCAGTCCTTGATCTTCGGTTTGGCTGGAATAAACTGCTTTTAAAATTTACAAATAAATGGAATACAATAATTTTACGAAGTGAACTGTGTGGTTGGGGCAGTGAATATTTTGTCTAGCCTGTGAGATGGCAAATAACGCCAAACACAAAGGAAGGATCATTTGACCTGAAACGTTAACTCTGATTTTCTCCACAAATGCTGCCAGACCTGCTGAGCTTTTCCAGCAATTTCTTCTTTTGACACCAAATCCAAACAGTGCACTGAAACATTGAGCCTGGCAGTAAAATTGAGTCAACATAGGATTCTGAAAGCAGTATGTCTGCATATCTGAGGAACACCCTGATATTGGCACAAAGGGCAGGAGATTGCAATCTTCCTTTGAAAACTCCAGGTAGGAGAGTTGGTTATTTTGAGGAGGGAAGGTGTAGCTTCAAGTACAAGCTGATTGAGCACCTTGTCAGTTTCAGGACTTCCTGGAGACGGCATTTTGAACAAAAAAACAATAAAAGGTCAATAGAAGAATAAAACCAATCTAAAGAATGTTGATCAGATTTTATTATACTTCAAGAACACCAAAGTTAAGATCCTTTTGAAAAACAAAAGTCTCCACTTTTATATGAAAATGCTGAAGTTAAGTCACTTGCATTATTCACACATAAGGAAGAGCGATCAAAAAAGAAACTACATAGAATCCCTGTAAAAATGCAGGCTTCTGTCAATCATAGAAAGAAAAGGCAGGACTGTAACCAGATGGAAGCAACCTTTGCATCTGACTAATGTTTGCAGCTAAGGAGACCTATTTTAGTTAGTCAAGCAATTATCAAATTTTCTGGGGAGCTGACATGATATGAATAGTCACTTTTTGGAGCAAAACTTGAGTATTGCCAAAAAAAACACATTTGGTCAAGGCTTTTCATTTTGCAGTCATCAGAACAATGTGTAAGAAATACCAAAATAAAAGGGAAAACAAAATTTATACTGTATGAGGGGGAAATGCTGATTGGTTGTCAAATGGATTCGGATTGGTGGATGTGTTGCCGTCGTGAATGCACCAGTTAGTGATGATCAACAGTTAATGACAGGTTGGCTGTGATTGATATAGGCATTGCCTTAGGAAATGAATTATATAATGACTGTCACTTCTTTCATTGAGTTGAAAGAGGCAGCGTTGTGAACATGTTCTTTCTGTCTGCCAAGACAGGACATTGTGTAATAATGTGTATAGTTTCCAGGACATGCAAGTACACCACACTGGGAGCCTGACTAACAATCCTTAATTGGTTTTCAGTGTAATTTTTCACACCGTCTTATTATTTAGCAAACGTTGTACAATTGCAGAATCACATCCAATATTGGCAGTTGGGAGAGCTTTGCAAGCACAGGCTGGTTTGGCATGGTCATTACCTTGTTTGTTGCAAACAGCCAAGGAAAATACTGTTTGATATGATTGGCCAGTGTTTGTGACATGCAGCTATGTACCTTGCATCAGCCTTACATTGTAATTCATATAGTACATCACTCATTTGTGTGATAGGCGGAAAGTCTTTTGACTTGATGGCAACAGCCTGTTAGTTGGGAACACCATTCATTTCTATTGTATAGTAACAGTGTGAAATACCACAGAACTCACCTGTTGTTCAAATCTTTGAGATACCTTACCCTTAATGTAACATAAACTGGACACTTCTCAGAATCAAAGCCTGTTCATGAGTTTGTGCAATTTACAACAAGAAATGTACTAATCACAGCAGCTATTATCCCACAGGATGGTTATAATGTTTCCTATTTTGGCATCAAGGTTACACAGTGTACAAATGGCTTGAACTCTATTTAGGAGGTTACCAATTAGGCCAATCCTATAGCACTTAGAAATATAGGAAACCCTACATTTTTATTGAACGATAAAAGTAGATTTGTGGTAGACAACTGTGGAAGCGTAATAGAGTAGTGACCAATTTCTTGACAAGGTTATTGCCATGTATTCAAATTACAATGTGAGCCAAAGAAGAAAATGGGTAATATAGCTTTCACTGAAGTTTAAGGTTGTATTATAAAGCATTGAACTGCTCCAAGCCTTCAGCATCTTGAGGCTCAATTTCTCTCACACTGCTCAGATTTTTGTTCTGAGGCATGTGGCTCAAGTCAGGAAATTTTCCAATTTGGCAGATGTGTGCCTGTTTAAAGTCCCTTGTTAAGCCAATCCTCACTCCAAAGCGGTCTTCCGACCTTGGAAATCAATTCAAGGCACTCACCGGAGCAGACAAGTGTGGAGGCTCACTAAGACTAAGAATAAATGTATTATTGCATGACACACCAAGATGTAAATCTCCCACCTACAGCATGTGCCAGCTGTCTGTGCAGCAAACGCACTACATATTTATTCAACAAAAATGGCTAAGTCGGCAACTGAGTGGTGGCTAGAGTTCAGTGTGGTCAGGAGGGATTTCTTGTAGCATCAGTCACAGACACAGTTTACACACTGTCCGGGGGCTTGCCTGTGGTCAGTCATCCACTCAGTCCAGGTACGTTCAAGGGATATGCCTAATTAGTGGGCAGTGGCCAGTCCTGTTGGGCTATTGCAAGCAGCCTGGGGAATGGCATATAATCAGTCAGGGATTTAGTCAGTCGTATCCAGGTGCTGTTTGTCGAAGCCTGTCAGAGGTCTGGGATGATTTATAATCCTGGGCGTTGGCCTGTTGATTGTTCAGGAGAGTGAAAATGAGGCCTGTAGGGGCAATGAGGGCATCATTGACAGAAAAGCGTGAGGGAAGCAGAGGCACTTGTTGAAGTGGAGACAAGGAATGTTATGGAGGGAAACTTGGGGTGTATGGGGATTGGCACAACAGTATGAGAGGGGGAGAGACTATTGACGGTGATCACCACCATGGCTTCCACAGGGGTAATCATAAAGGAGCAGGGTGGGTAACGTGTAAGCTGGGGCTCAGACGCAAGGAGAACAGTTGGAAGCAAAATTCAATGTGGAATTATACTTTTTGATGTTAGAAAAAGTCTCATTTTAAATCATAATTTTCCCACCTTTTCCATCAATGTGGAATTCCCCCATGTGGGGGTCAGTGATTTAAAAGGGCACCTTTGCAGAGGTGGTGGGAGGATGACATCTACCTGGCAACCAGGCAGAGTCATGCTCATGAAGTCCACTGCAAGCTGTGTTCCCTACCATCGCTTGCTGTTCTCTAGATATGAAATGCAGGTGGAAAATATTGGTTACAATATGGACTAAACTTGGCCACTTGGGATATATCAAGTTATATCAAGAAATGAGAAATTGCAAGTTGATTTTTCTCCTTTATAATATGCCTGTCTTTCTAACCTCATCCAGTCTTATAACCATTCCAGGATTCTGCATTTCTGATCTCTTGCGCGTTTCTCAGTTCATTGCCATCATGGTTGGTGGATGTGACTTCATTTGTCTCATCCCTAAGCTTTTCAATTCCTTTCCTAAACAACTTCTGTTCTATCTACCCCGTCCTTCAAAACATTCCTTGAAAATCACTTTTGACAGAGTTTGTTCATGTTTCCTGATGTCCACTCCTTTGGCTTTCTTTCAGATTTTACTTGATTCTGCCCTGTGAATTACTGTGATATATTACTGTTTTTAAGATGATACACAAATGCACATTGTTGTTGTTGGAACTACAATGCTCTGATATCTGTAATGTTTGGGATAGAATTTCCTATGGGTTTAGCTGATGTTCCCATTGTAACTTGGTGGTGAGCAGAGGAAAGTGCGAGTTATTGTTATTAGCTCCAAATATCTGGTTTAAACACTTTTGAAGCAAGAATTGGCACCCATCATAATCATCAAACAGACAGAAATACACCTAAATTTAATCTTCAATGATAATGGCATAACTAAACAAGTTATTTTGTGGGCAAGCTGAGCAACATCAACCAGTTCTTATAATAAGGAACTTGAACAATGGTTAAGTTTTACCTGAGCTAAGATAACAAGCATGAGTCAGTATTAAGAATATGGTATCTGCTCAATGAGGATTGAATTGAGGTAGATCAGGCTCTACTCCTGTTAATGCTGTTCAACTAAGGAGAGATTTCTGGAACTGAAGCTCAGTGGGACAAAAGATGTTTTGTTGAAAATGATGACAAGGGAAGGTCGGAAAATTCTAATTTAAAATGAAACTCTTTCTAATATGAGAAAAGTGTAATTAAATTATAAAATCAGACAGCACAAAAGGGTGTCAGCTGGCTCATTCCTGCCCCACTCTTTAAAGAAACTATCTAATTAACCCCACTACCCTGTTCTTTCTCCATCATACTGTAATTGCTTTCCTAAATTGGAGTGCTTCATTGCTAACTGGCTTTAGTTTGAACAGTTTCATTTAACCAGTGGAAGAGTTTAATTAAAGGAGGAAGCAATTCTTTGGACAAATTCCTTTGCAATCAGGTATTTACCAAGTAACCTCCTCCAGGGATAACAAGGTGTAGAGCTGGATGAACACAGCAGGCCAAGCAGCATCAGAGGAGCAGGAAGGCTGACGTTTCGGGCCTAGACCCTTCTTCAGAAAAAGAAGGGTCT